GTTTTACCCCTCAGTGTAATAAAATTATTACTGTGTGGAAATTTGAAAGAAACAGAAGGCCTAGAACTGCTGCTTGTGGCTCAAAGAAAAGATAATACTGGGTGGAGTTCCCTGCATTAGGTGGTGGTGTCCAGAAAAGCAGTAGCATCAGGGGAGCCATGGTGTGCCTGGCTGGAGTCACCTTAAATTGCAGTCATCATGCAGTTGATTGAGGAATTGTTAACTTTGTGGTGCTTGAAGACATTCACTTAATTGCACTACCATATTTGAAGTATTATTTCAAAGCAAAATAATGTGCAAAACTCATGTGAAGTAAGTTATTTGGCAGTTAGGAAGATAGTGCCTCATAAGAATTTGTACAATAGGCTTCCAGGTTTTGTCTGCCAGCTTATTACAGTTTTTTGGCTGCTGTACTGTATTTAGAGCTTGGATTGTTACATGGAGGCATCAAATTTTTCTTTCTTGAATAATAAATATTGTTTAATATTGAGCTGTTGAAAGCGTGGGCAGACAGACGGGTGTGGGCAGACAAGGGTGTGCTCTGTGCTGCCATCTGGCCAGTCGGTGGAACGCAGTGAGTGCCCACACAGCCTGGCTTACCAGGAATTTGTTGAGGTCAAGCCCTGCTGATGTGACTGTGCAGCTTCTGGCCTGGAGACTGCACCTAAGCAAAAAGGTTACTTTTATTTCCTTTGTTTGTCTCTGAAGACTTAAGTACTATCTGCACTGTACTGTTGTCAGGGTCTGTTGCATTTCTTAGCAGGTGGGGCAGCAACTGCGAATTACTTTGTGTGCGGTTACAAATTACTGGCTTTTGTTAGACGTGAGTTCACAGATGTTTAGCAGTTGGTATCTTAGCTGTACCTTCTAGGTATGTGTAAATGTTAATAAATATTTTAATAGTTTAATATTCAACATTTTCTAAGGTAATGTGTTACCACATCCTGGGAGTATTCCTTACTTATAGTAGATAATTATGGTTATAGTAAATAACCTGAGGTGTTGAGGTGGTGTCAGGAGACATGGAAAATTGTGGGTTTCTGTGGGTTAAGGCCTGTTGTGTGATTTGTATACATATTGACTTTATGAGTGAAAACTGACTTTAATGCTGATTCACGTACATATATCCCTGCTTCAAAGGCATGGGGAACAATTGTCTTGTTTTGAAATAGGCCTGTCATTTTATTTTTAGATTGTATTTTTTTTTCAGCCTGAATTAATGCTAGAAATAATACATCTTACATCAGACTGCTTGAAGCAGCTAAGTTAGAAGTAGTTTTCCCTTTCAGGTGAAGCAGGGTTATTGTTGTTAAATATTTGGAAATAAACTGCTGTGTGTAAATCTTAACAGGATGGTGCTGCAGTGCCAGTAAGAAATTTGTATGCTTTAAGCTATTAAACCTTTAGCAGTATCAGTGATCTAACAGGGATGAGTTCTCTGTTGGTTTTAAGATGTTACAGGTAAGTGGCTCTTTACAGAAGTTAAATATTTCAAATATTCAGATTTCACATACTGAATTATTAGTGCTTTAGGAAAAGATTTCCATGTTCATTTTAAGATAGTCTGTTTAATTAGGTGACCTTGACTATTAATCCTTCTGAAATAAAATGTTTTCTTTTGATTTTTCTTTAGAGCATCAAAACAGCTCCAAACAGACTCCACGGACTCAGCCAAGAGATGAAGACTTTGAAGGGGCCCCATGGAATTGTGGTAGCTGCACCTTTCTAAATCACCCAGCACTAAATCGCTGTGAACAGTGTGAAATGCCACGATACACCTGAAATTCAGGAAGGGGCTGCACTGGGTTGAAGACAGGCTCTCAAGCCAACAGCTGTAAGAGAAGGAAACATGGGGAACCTTTCAGTCCACCTGCCTGGCCTTTGCCAGTCAACAATCTTCATTGTGAGGGGTGGGAGTAATGTGTTAGGATGTTTCTGCTTCTGCTACACTAGAAAATAAATGAATTAAGGGTTAAATTCCTTCCCATTGTTGTGAGCAAAGCAGAAAATGAAACCTGAAAATGTAAAAGGATTAATTTTGAGAAGAATGTATGCAGGAAAGCAAGTAACTACTGGTGTTTATTCCTGTGGTTATAGTTACTGCTTAGTGGCTCTAAAAACAACAAACCCAAACCTACTGTTTTTTAAAAGAAAAGTATAGGACTCTTAGTAATGGTGTGAAGTGTTACACTTAACCAGAAAAACTGAAGAGCCAGAGCTGACTTAACCTGGCCACAGCAAGCTGGAAAACAAAGGCTCCCTGTGCTTCTAGATTGTAAGCTACTGAAAAAGAAGACAGGTAAATGCAATGATAAATTTTGCAATGTATCAAAAAAAAAAACAAGGAGAAGGGTATTTGTAATTGCTGCTTTTTTTCAGGGTAACTTATGTCTACAAAAAATTGCTGTTTGAAATAGTGACCTGAGGTGATTCGGTGAGGAACCATGTGAGTGTTACAGAGAGTGTAATCAGAGAAATTTTTTACAATCCTGTTTGCTTGTACAGTGCCCACCTGGCTGTGTCAACACTGGTAATAAACCGAGAATGAATTCTACCACGTTGCAGATGAAAATCCTGCTGCATGCTTTCATTGGGCCGTCATGTTTCCAAGCTCAAAGGATGCTTTTCTGTACAACCTTCTGAGCCTGTGCTGTGCAGCAGCACAGTGAGATATGTCAAACAGAGGCTACTCCAAATTCCATTTGGAAGACTTGGGCTCAGCCATGGTTGTGTTTGAGAAGAGTTCGTACCCAGTTCCTTAGGCCTTTTCAGCTTCTAATTTGTGAAGAATTCATAGTGTTTACAGCACAGAAGGTACTTTGTGCCCCAGATCAAAGTTAGCTGAAAAATAATTAATCAGCTCTTCAGTAAAGGTTTATTTGCACATTATAATAAACCAGCCTGTACAAAATAGCAGATGCCAGATCCTGAAGAATTACACACTGCATTCTTTCTATTTTGGTCAGGATTATATTTGTCATAGGTTAAAGAACACAAGACTTGCAATTGAAAATTTTACTGGTACTTATCTGCCTATGATACACTGTATTCTAAAGGTGATGTTCAATCTGAATACTTCAGGCGGCTGGAATAAAGCACTCGATACTTTGAGATCAAACTTGGGTTTGGGGAGCTGAATGATCCTGTGACACAACTGTGTGGCTGTGTAGGGTGTTCTGTGTACTGGTCAGAGGCTGGTACAGTGCATTTGAGTTTTTATGGTATAACTTCATCACAATTCAGAGATGCAGCTGAGCACTTCAGCTGAATTATGGCAATTGACTTGGTAAAGCAAAATTTGCTATTAACTTACCATGAGAGTTTAAAACAACTTCATTTTAAGCTGTTCTTAGCTCATGGCAGCCACATCCATATTGTCAATTACCACAATTCACTCGATGTGTGGTAACATGCTAAGCTGTGGCAGAACAATCATATGTCTGAATCCTTATTTAAAATAAAGCAGCATTTGCAAGGGGTGGGTGGAGAAAAACTCATCTTGACTGCATTGCTCAATCTGGTGTCTTCTTTCCCCACAGTTTATAAAGACAACAGTAAGACCCAAACTGTTGAACTTAATGAGGAACCAATATTTTATCTGGCATTTTTCAATATGTTCTTGCACTAAATCTTCAAAATTTAAAATAAGCTAAAGGATCTCCAGAAATCAATGTGCACCACTAATGAGCAAAACTAAGTCAAAGGCATCAGAGACAGTTTTCCTTTCTTCCTAGTGATTTACACTGCTGTGAGGGGAGCTTATCACATGTGGAAGGGGGTAGGAAAGTTACTGTCAGTTACTTTACTGTCAGTTACTGTCAGCTGAAGTTAAAAGCCAGGTATTAATTTTGTGCATGTCAGTGGACAATTTGACAAAACTGAGAACTAGAAAACAGATGAGCAGAAGCATTGCTGTTATCAGCTGTATAACAAATTACTCCAAACAATGCCAGTAACTTCATGGCTTTTCTATCCTGATGCCTTTGCCATTGTATTATTTCAAATTTCTGTTCCTTTGTACTTCTGGTGAAGTTCTAAAAGCATTTGTTTTTGCTGGAATTACAAAAAAGATAGCAACTGAAGTGACAGACAGCAAATGAGAGTAGGGGTGTCATGCAAAAATACAGCTGTGCCATTTTCAGACAGAATAGATGCTGCTTTCAAAGGAGGAGGTGCAAATATGCATTCAGTCCAAAAATGCCCTGAACTGCAATAACCTTACATGGAGACTTGCAAATCTTAGTCCAAGCTTCACCAGAGGAAGAGGAGGGCTGCCACCACAGCAAGATACTCATTGGAAGAGTGAGTGAGCACCATTAAATTGAAAAATAAGTCCTTTGTACCAATGACTTTACTAGGTTTTTTCAATTACTCTCATTTGTTGCTTGTACAAGCAATGAAAACCACCACACCCTTCTTTTGTATTCTTTTACTTGTAAATGCCCATACTCAAACGTTAATAGTAAAGACTTGACATGGTGCTTGAATATTTCTAGTTTGTTAGAATGTAATTGTTTTTCGAATATTGGAAGATCCATTTTGCTTCTGAAAGCAGGTGATGCCATTCAAACCCCAACTGAATTGTAGATTATACCAAAAAGATTGGTTTATGGACTATTTATTGAATGCACATAAAACGCTAATGTCAGCTGGCAACAAAATGCACTGTATTGTATAAAACTTGTGTGTGTGTGTGTGAGAGGATGTTGGGATGCTGATGCTGTTGTGTTGAGTTAATGCACTACTCGTGTTTTCTGTTTTCCTTAATGACTGTGCTTTCCCTCAACCATGCTACTAGATTGTAACTGACTTGGACATTCAGTTATTCAAAATGATCTCACTGTTCATTGAAATTTTATAAAGCTTATTTTATATTTACTGTGCTATTAAGATGAATTCCCTTTAATTATAGGATACTACTGTAGTTCTTTCAGAGCTTATTTAGAGTGGGGCTTGTGGAAAATTATTCAGAATATAGTAAACCAAAAGAAATCCTGAACTTTGGATCTACTTTTAATTTGATGTAATTATTAGTCTTGTTTGGGTGAAGAGGAAGGGGGTGGGAAAGGAAAAGGAAAGGAAGTACTTTGTAAAATGTAGTCTTAGATCAGATTGAATTGTGTATCTGTGTGTCTGTGGTATGTGTGTGTTTCCCTTGAAAAATGGGAGGTGTGGTGAAAAGGTGTAATAATTCTTAAAAGAGCTGGTCTCAGTACTTTCTGATTATGATATGCTACTGAATCATGTTTAGTTTTTTTTTAAAACCCAGCTTTTCTCTCAGTTACTTTATCTCTCCCAGCTATACATCTCTCACTTCAATTTCTAAATACTTTTTCAATTTCTAAATACTTCTACATTTAATATTGATTGTAAAATCCCTTGAAACTGAAATACAAATACTTGAGTTTAAATGGGGACAAAATAAAAACAATAAAGAATGTTTTTAAAAAGAATGTGAGAATATTATATATGTTAAAAACAAACTTGTCATCAGGACGATAGTTCTTCTTTTAAAATCCAGTGGTGTACCCTAGAATGTGAACATGACTATCCTGATGAGAAGTGGATGGTTGGACACAAACAATTCAACAGCCAATTTGGTACCACAGAATTGTGCCCTGTACTGCAGTGACTCCAAATCCCACAAGGAAGGCATGCACAGATATCACATCTCACAGTCAGTACTGTCTCTGTGTGCAGCTGCATTTGTTTTCATTTCAAAAAGTCAGTCTTACATGAACCCAGACATGACTGAGTTTTGCCACATTTCTTCAGTTGGGGTTTTCATTGCTGTATATGTCCGTAAATGCAAATATTTTTCTTGAAATAATCAGAAATCAATGGAGTAAATGCAATATTATAATCCTGGATTTCCAGTATCTTTGAAACCAATTTTAAAAAACTGTATTCTTGAAACTTATTTATTTATGGTGGCACCAGTGTATCTAATCCATACTTCCTGCTGTGTGAAACCCTGTTAAATTTTTTCATTAAAGAAGAAGACACGATCTTGTTTAATCCTGTATATATGGTGTCTACATTCTAGATTTGTGTATGCTGTGAATGAACTTATTACTAAGAGATGAAATTGTATAAAAGCATTCAGAGGCTATGCATGCATGGTACCTCCAGAAAGTGCATACTCCAAGTTGCAGATTCCTGCAAAAATAAATTAATAAAACTAAACAAACATCACATCCTGCATTTGTTCTTGTATGTAGTGGGAAACATTTTTAAAGTACAGCCTTTTTTGGCCTTCATAGCCTGATTGTTTCTGGTCTCCCACTTGGACTTGTAGCTGTAGCAAGTTTGTTTCAGGGCTTTTGGGGTTTTTGTTTTGTTGATCATTAGGCATTTGCTGAATATTTAACTGGGTCCAAATCCTGTTCCCATGAATGTGAAGGAGCAGGAATCCCATTTTAGATGATGGATCTTCTGTACAGCTTCTGGTGTGGAAGCAGGAGGTAGCACGTTCAGAGTGTGAGGCTGGCCTCAGCACTTCTGCCTTACTTTGGGCAGAAGGTTGTCACCGAGGGCAGCTTTGCCTGCTCTAGCACCACGGGAGTCCCTGTGCTGCTCTCACCTCTTGGCAAGGCACTGCTGTGGGAAAGGGTGGAGAGGTGGAAGTGCACAGTGTGAGTGCAGGCACCTTCCAGGGCTGTGTTCTCCATGGCATCAGCTCCCCACAGCTCCGGCTGTGCCCCTGCCGGTTTGGGTCACACACTCCGGAGATCCTTCAGCGCCTTCCCGCTCACAAACCTCTGTGCTTCAGTCAGGAAACACGGGTAAGAATTTCATTCTGCCTTCTTTTTGCTAAGCTGACTTTATCACAGTCTCAGGACATGTTTGTATCGTAATTAACCTCTGTGCTTCAGTCAGGAAACACGGGTAAGAATTTCATTCTGCCTTCTTTTTGCTAAGCTGACTTTATCACAGTCTCAGGACATGTTTGTATCTTAATTAAGCATTTGTTTTTCATGTCAGAAATCATCGCTGTTGAAACTGATTAAAAAAAAACATAAAGTTGAGATATCTGTAAAGTATATTGTGCTAATGGAGACCATGCAGAGCCAAAAGACACCAGTCTAACAAGTGTTCACCATTTTTTGTAGTTTCCCTGCAGTCATGAGGAGGCAGATCTGCTTGAATTGCATAAAACTGGGTGATTAATTCCTCAGAATGACTTGGTTTTGGCAGCAGTGAACCATGTCTTAAACTCGTGGCTCTTTGAGAGATAGTTTGTTCTGTGTTCTGGTAAATATTCCTGGAATGTAGTGCTGCTGCTTTTAGTCCATGCTGTGATGAGTAGGTGCTGTGTATTCTTTACTGCACCATCTCTGGTTGGAAATGCACTTTTTCAAAGGAGGTGGTTGATAACTGATTTTGTCTGAATGACTGGACTCAAAGTGTTCCATACTCAGTGGACTGTCTGAATTTTCATGGAAACTTTGTGAAGTTGTTAAAGAAGGGGCTCTGTTAATTTTTAGCTGGAGGGTCTATGATTATGACACATTCTAGTCTGACAGTAGAGCCAGGCCAGACCTGCCAAAGCCTTTTTCAGGGGCACCATTCTGCTTAGGAAAATACTCTGTTTCTCTAGAAAACAGTAATGTATTGAGTTAAACAAAGCCAAAAAAAAAAAAACTAAACCAAAAAAAAAAAAAAAAAAAAAACAAAAAAAAAAAAAAAAAAACAACTGCAGGTAATTTTCCAGATACACAAGACTTAGAACCTTGCACATATTTGCTGTTTTTGCAAGCTGCATTTTGAAGCTACAAATTCATTGTCCCTTCTTCCTTCTTGACATTAACAAAATCTCTCCTGCCAGGTTTACTTAAAAATGAAGTCAATATGGTTCCATTACTGCTTTAGAAACTAAGCCACAAAGCCTGGGAATTAAAAGATGTGCAATGCAGGTGCTGCTTTGCTTTTGACTAAAGGCTTCTTAATTTTTTGGAAGAGTTTTAGGAAAAGAAGTTCAGGGAAAATATGGAATACTTGAGGAAAAAAGCTGCTAGGTGGGGAAAGTTTTCATAGGTTAGAATGTGATATTCTGGTACAGTCCAACAGTGTGTTCTGCAGTTGGTGTCAAGTTCTGACATTGACATTGGTTGCAGTGATGGAATAGTCACAACTCAAATATTCATCCCAAACTCTCAGTGGCTCTCTGCTGGATTGTTCTAAAGTATCCTGAACCAGTCTTGCACATTTCAGGCTTGGGGGGATTATGTTTTATTTCACCTGAAATTATTACTCTACTTTTGAGCCATTCTGTGAAATTGTGATTTTGCAAGACAGAAGTGGCTTTTGGCAATACTGTGTGTGCTGGAGAGTGCCTGGTGTGACTGCCCACACTCAGATCCACTGGAGGAGCCCCAGGGACAGGGGGAGTGACACAAACACACTTTCCAGGTGGGTGATGGGAGCAAGCAGGGTCTGAGAAAACTTTGTAGAGAACTTGTGCTTTATGAGAGCTTGTGAATCCTTCCCTCTAAGTTTCTGTATGTGCCTTGCTTTGCTTCAAGGTGAGAGCTGTGGTGGTGGAGAGCCTTGGGTGACTTTCATCACCACAGATCCTGAAGCCTCATGGCTTTGTTGCTGTTCCAGGTAGGTGATTTTACATTTCCCCCAGCCTCCATTTGTCTCAAAACTGATTGTTCATAAACCAAACAGATCTCTTTTTATCTTTTTTGATGCCAGGGCATCCTTGCTGGCTGTGTTTGTGTGCTCCCACCTGTGCAGGATCTGCTGTAAGCATCATCCCATGGCAGTGCAGCAGTAGCAGGGAATTACACTAAATATGGCTACACGATTTAAGTATCCTGGGTGAGACTGGAATCACCACTGCACCAAGGAGGGAAGTACAGATGTTTTTCATGAGCTATGAAAACCACCAAGTGTGTGGAATTCCCAAGTGGTGGTTCTTGGCTTTAAAAACGAAAGCAAGATTATTGCAGCAATAAATGCAGAGTGTGTAAAGGTTTCCCAGGAGTTTTCAAAGCTGTTCCTTAAAACTGGAAGTGAGAGATAACCACTTTGCTCTTTTTCCAGCTCGCAAATTTTGGCATCAAATTTGTTCTAGAAAGGAAACTGTTTTGAAAGAAAACCTCTTCCATATCCAGAGGAATAACTTACTGTCTCTCAGATACTAATTCTGTTTAGTTTTAGTTTGTTTTTTTTGTTTTGTCTGGGTTTTTCTAGCTTCTGCAGAAATTCAGATCATTTATAAGGGCATGTTTTTTTTCAGCTGTCACATTTTTCCACCTGCCTTTGCCAGTTGCAGGCAAAGGCCTCTCCAGGCTCCTGTGGGTCACTGCCCTGTCACACATGTGTGACCTAGATGTGTGTGGTACACCTGTCATGCCACTTTCTTACAGGAAAAGGTCAACACTTGTGCTGTGCCATTAGGATTCAGAAATCCCAGCACCCTCAAACATGGGCAACTCTCATGGTCCTGGTCACTTCTCAGGACATCTGCTTCTCTGTCTCTGATTTTGGGGCAGCCAGTCTAAACTGCTCCTTTTGAAACTGTGCAGATTTAAGAGTTTAGTGTCAGAATTTGTGAAGAACTACAGCCAGTTGTTATTTTTATTGACAGTATTCAGGTATGAGAAAAGTAAGGTGATAGTGAGGAACATCAAGAGAAAGCTGTGTTGGTACTTTGGTGTGGTTATTTACATTAGATACTGTGTTCAAGACATTGGGATTCACTTCTGCTGGTAGTGGTTATCTTTCCAGGTGGGTCTTATGAAAGCAGAGTAGAGGGAGACCATCAGTTCCCTGGACCTGCTGGCCACTCCTCTTTGATAGAGCCCAGCCCACCATTTGTTTTCTGGGCTCCAAGTGCCCCTGGCCAGCTGAAGGGCAGCCTCTGACCCTGCAACTCTCCCAGGTCCTTTTCTGCAGCGCTGCTCTCCGTGAGCTCTTCCCCAGTCTGTGCTGCTGCCTGGGATTGCCCAGGCCAGGTGCTGCACCAGCCCTTGGTCTTGTTAAACTGCTTGAGATTCCCATGGTCCCACTTCTCAGGCTTGTCCAGGTCCCTCTGGATGCTCTCCTGACCTTCAGGTGCATCACTCACTTTGGTGTCATCTGCAAACAAACTTGATCGCCAAGTTTGCCATTATTGTCATTATGCCCTTATTGCCCTCTTCCCAAAAGCCATGAAAAAGGTCGGATAAAATGTAAATTATGCTTTCAATATTATTTTGTAATAAATAAATAGTGATTAAACAGCCTAGTTTTCTCTTTGATTTCCTCTTTTCCACTTGAGGGGATGCACAGCACAATGGAGTTCATTAGCTCAGGGATGATTCTCAGGAATGCACCAACATAAACATTCTACCAGGTGGTATGTTCAGATTGCCACCATTTATCTTATCACCATTTAAGATATCAAGAATGAAAAGTCTGCAGCAGATTAAGCTACACATGTGCTGTACAGAGATATAATCTATATTAAGGCCCTAAATGTCACACCTTCACTGAAAACCCTATTGCTTTTTTAATTTTACTTTTTTTTTTTTTTTTTTTTAAGGTAAGGCTGCCAGATGTGCTGCACTAATTCTGAAAGGTGCACTAGTAGCATTAAATCTATATGATTTGGTTTTGCTCATCAACTTTGACAGGACAAGATGTTGGTAACATCTAAAACTCCTTCAAGACAAACTTCTTAGTCTTCAAGTCACATTTATTCCCACACTGCAGTAGTTCAGGATTTCTAACAGGTTAATCCCAAAGCCCTTTTCTAAGATTTCAGACATTTCCTACAGAGCAGTGAAACAGTGCCCTGTTCCTCCCAGGAGGAGAAATGGGAGGAGCAGTTGGCAAGATCTCCAGCTCTGTGGCCATGGGAGCAGTTAAAACCTGCTCTGCATCCATCAGTTTTATCATCCCTGACAGATTTTGAAAGAAAAAACAATATGAGTTGGTCTCAATTTACATTGGTGTGATGCACAGGCGTCTCCAAGGTAATTTTTTCTTTTGTTTCTCACTTTCCAATATACAGAGTTTTGCAATTGCTGTGGTGCTGTTCCGCTGGAGTTGAATCACTGAATTTAACAAAGAAAAGTTCTTACAAAGGGAGTATCCATGACATGAACCACAAGATAGGTGCTCATATATGTTTTGGTTTTCTTTTCATCTGATAAAAAGATATTGATAGTTTTACCTGATCTTTACCTGCCCTGCTAGCAGGATGTTTGGGAATTGAGTTGTGTGTACACAAATAATCTACTTTAATGATAGCTTGGAGCTGGTCCCAGGGGGGCTGATCACTTGCATACACTGAATTGAGCACCTGAGAGCTGAGCAGGATAAATCACATTGTTTTGGGCATTGTCCGAAGTGTGAAGCACTGACAGCCCTGGGGCATCCACCACCTCTCCAGGAAGCCTGGTCCAGGTTTTGACAACCCTTTCAGTAAGGAAATGCTTCCTAATATCCAGTCTAAATCTCCCCTAGTGCAGTTTTGAACCATTTCCACTGACATGTCAGTGACCACAGTGAGCTGCAGGACCTAAGAACTATCAGTAAAAGATTTCTTGAATTTGGAAGAGCTTGCAGGTAGCCAGAGATTTACCTGGAAAAAGTAATTTAAAGGAATTAAAACCCCAGAGATGAACTCATACAATCTTGCTCTGCAGCATCCCCCGGCTTCTGAAGGTGTCTAAAAGCAATCAGCACTTCTCCTTCTGCCCAAACACTTGATCCTGCATCCAAATAAGCCAAAATGGCCTGGAAAAATTGGTAAAGGGTAAAACTGGTAAAGAAACCTGATCATTGCAATGTTTGTGTAAGAGCCTGAAAGTCAGGGAAAGGAGGATACAGCAACTGAGCTTCTTAACTTCTTGTTCAGTTCTAACTGCAGAGAAACTAACATTTTCCCTTCTGGGAATTGACTTCTGGTGCTTATAATGTGTATATAGTTTGTGTTCTCAAGGTCTGAGACTGCAGTGGGCATTAATGTGTGAACCTCACCCAGCCACTGCTGAAGCAGTTACCAATATTGGCTT